GGGCGGATTTCGTCGGATGGGGCGAAACCAAAACCCCACGGTTCGAATTGCGTGTTGGTCTTGCCCCAGAGTCCGACAAGCGCAGAGGGTGCTGGGCATTGTGCTTGGAAAGGTGGTGTGACCTCGAGGACCCTACCGAACCACCTGTGATAGTACAGTGCCATTACGCCAATTGTTACTTCACTGTTGTTGGCCACGCTTTTTGGTCTGTTCATTTTTACCCATGTCGGCAGAGCAGAGCCGATTTGAGAGTTGGGTGTGTCGTTTTTTGTTGGTTTTCAGGGGAAGCAAAAGGAAAGCCATCGTTTTTTTTGGGGGGGTGCCCTCCAAAAAGTGAAGGCCCCATCGGTTTTCCGAGTTCATCAAGGTCACCTCCCAAGTCATTTCCGCGGAACTCTCATGGTGAGATGACTTAGGCGGTTGGGACTGACGTAGATGTCTGTATTTCTTGCAGGTCCGCCGTTTTTAAGTCTGTCCCAAGGGAAGTCAATGTTGTTTGTAGGTACCCTGTTTAAGGTTGGTTTAAACAGAGCTTCCAAAAGGCAAACTGCCATTTTGGTCAAGCATACCACATGGTGTGGATGGTTTCGCAAACTGAATAAGGGGGCTCCAAGAGGGGTCGCTTCTTTTGGTTCCCTTGAAATAACACCACCTCAACAAACACAAGCACGCACGCACGCAATACACCTATGTAGCTCGGCGCAGGTAGATGGCGAAATGAACCCATAGCATCCTCTTCACTTCCTCGCATCCACGATTCTTTGCGCAATCTACGTTCACCAAATGGACCTTTGGTTCCGCTTGTTTTTTTTAGGTTTCCCTCTGAAACCATCCGGAAAGGGCTGTCCAGAGCCGCCAGACCCACACCGCTCATCTAGGGAGATTTGTGCATCTACCTTCACTGGACGAATGATCAGAGTTGCCTCTTCCTCTTCTGGTTCCTCTTGAACCATGCAGAAAGGGGCCTCCCCAGAGCCGGAACCTGCCACCTACGAGCGCCTTGTGCCTTGCGCGGAGCGTGCGCCAGGAGTGGTCCCCGGCCTTCAAGGCGCGGGTGAAGCGCTGGGTGTGCCTCGGCCTCTGCAGCGCCTCGCTGCTCGGCGCCTGGTGGGCGCTCTGGGTGAACCTCTGCCTGCTGACCCCGCCCCTCGGACGGCAGACGCGAGCGCGTGGCCGTGGGCTTCAAATGGGCAGTGTGTCTTTTTTGGAACCCCCAAAAAACGGGGGGGGGGGGGGAGGGGCCTTATAAAAATGAGAAGGGTCGCTGATGAAGGCATTTGGTGAGGATTCATGTCCACCAAGCACATGTTGTCTGTTTTTTGGAGACCCCTGATTCTTTCTCGGTGTTCCTTTTGGTCTCCCTTTAAAACCACGAAGGGTGTTCCCTACAAGCTTCCCTTTGAAGCAGCCCCACAAAGAGCACCCTCGAATGACGGACGCGCGCCAGAAGCGTTTTTGCAAGTTCCCTTGGTGTTTTTGGGGGGATAGCCTATTTTTACACGTACCCTGAACTAAAAAAGACGCTCTCAAAGATGGCATGGGCCTTAGGGGCACAGGTTTGGTCTCAACACTTGCTGGTTTGTCTCTGGTTCATTTGGGAAAGATGAGCTTACGAGGTTTGGCAACATTTCAACAAAAGCAATCTTTGGGGAGGCAAGCGACGGTGGTAGCGCCATATTTCGGGCCGATTCCCCCAAGTTCGGGGTGTCCCAAAGAATCCATCTAGCCTTTCCTCGGTTTCGCGGTTCCTCGGAACGACTTTTCTGGTGCGCCCCTCCGGCAAATCTAAACAAGCCCAGATTGAACAAGTCCCTTTGGGCCATACCTATTGGGAAGCCAACAACGACAGCTTGCTGTCGCAAGGGGGGATTCTTGGCGACCAGTTTCTGGGCCACGTTGCCGAGTTGTTTTGGGCGGGGGTTCTTCGTTTCGCTTTTTCGGCGTCAGGTGGAGCGCCTGGTCCGCCTGCGGGCGCCGCTCGGCCTGGGCGCCCTCCTGCGGCCTGGGCGCCAAGTCCCGGCGCCGAGACGTGCGCTGGGGACGCTGCCGGGGGGCCCAAAGACTAAGGGGGGGGGGTGGGGGGAGAGGCGTGGGGACCCGGAGAAAGCTGAAGCCAAAAGAGAGGCTCTTCCAGTTGGTTGGTTGGAGAGTATTGCCTATTTTCCACTACTTGAAATAGGTTGTGGTTGTCCAGAGGGACGGCCAAACAACTCGTTCAGGGGGCGTGGGGAACTGCCTAAAAGCTCTTCCATGTGGCAAAATATGGTTGTCAAAGTGGCTCCTTGGAAACAAAGACAAGACGTTTTCCCGTGTTGGTTTGAAGGGAATGCAAATACATGGAGGAACTGGTTGACTTGAACTCAACAACTGGGTGGGCCCGAAACTGGCTTCTACTAATTTTGCATTATTTTAATTGTTTCTGGGGGCGCGGGGGGGGGGGGGGGACTTTGATGGTTTGAGAGGTGATGGCAGGAATCGTTGTTTTGTTGGAGTTTCGTTAAAAAGCTAGCCTTTCAACTTTGGGGGAAACCTATCAGGTACTCGTATCCCTGCAAAATGAGTCTCAAAGTCTGAGTTCCTTTTTAAGAAGGGCTCGGTGCCCTTCTTTCGATTGTGAAGGGAAGTCATGCAATCTCTTGGCAGGTGATTCTGAGTGCTTTGAGTGATCCGGTGGAATGAACTATGATTCCGTTCAGAGGCAGGACTTTGACGCCTTTCCCAAAAGATGGCAAAAGCACAGGCAGCTTGCGGAGTGGCAGTGAACCTACGAATCTGAGGGGAGAGCTTCTGTGGGTTGGACTTTGGGGCGGACAGCAAAAGGATTCCACGGTAGCTGCACCCGTTTCGGGGAATCAATCGACATTTTGGCTTGATTTTGCTTGTTCTCAGCAGGGAATGAGGGAATGACCCCTGTAAACCATCCCCTATGGTTCCTTTTGGAATGAATCTCCTTCCGGTTCATTCCCAAACTCCGGAGGGTCATTCCCTATCGCGCCAGCAAGTCACTGTCATCCGTTTTCTGCCCGTTGCAAACCACGTTTCGCGAGCCTTTGAAGGGCTTCATTTCTTTTGGCGTGTCGGGTTTTCCGTGCTCCTTTCGTCCAGTCCAGTCGGTCCATCCGAAGCCATACGAGAAAGGCCCATACGTAACCCAGTGGCTCAAGGCCATGGTGCCCCAGGTCTAACACCCCAATCTCACAGCCGTGCAAGCTTTGGCCTTGGGATGACCGTCGTTGCACCGGTTGATACTTGTGTCTTTTTTGAGTTGGTACCTCTTTTCGGTGTTAAAAGGAAAACTAAAAGGACAATCACAACTTAGCGAAACCACAAGCTGCTTATAACCCTTAACCTTAAACCACTTACCTGAAGTGGGGAGGGGTTTCTTTTAAACATCAACCACACACTTCTTGAATTTTCGCGGGACACTCATCGAACTCGTCGCACAAGTCACCTGTCTGGTACCCCCCTTATTTGCCGTAAGCATGACCTCACAAAAAGAGCACCCCACATTTGGGCCCATTTGCCTCCCCCCCCCCTCCCCCAAAGGCAAAAGGACCCCCCGCTCTCCCACAAACAAAACAACACACACACCGATGCCTCCAAGCTTTTTGTTTCGGACCGTCCTCCGTGCTCCCCTGCCTTTTCGAGGTGCGGGCGTTGAGTTCACGGAGGCCCAGGCCTGCCAGCGGCTCACTTGCATCTAGTCTCCCAGAATTTCCCGTTGGCTTTACGTCACAAGGAAGACCCCAGGACCCCCTGAAAGGTCAGGTTCCACGTTAATTGGTGGGTAGAAGTTCTTTTTCCCCTGTTGATTTCAATCGGAATCTATCACTGCGGGAAATATGTTTTATTATTTTTGGCCAGGGGACCTATGCAAATAGAAGCCTTGGGCAACTAAAACGTCACACCAGAAGGTGTTGGTTTCCCCAAAGCTACAAGAAGTTGGGGTACCAACTCGAACAATGTCACACACACACACACACACAGACACCCGATATTAGTGGCAACCCAAAAAGTGATCACCTTCCATGACTTCCGTGTCCCAAAAGTCACCCGGAGGCTGGGGCTCTGCAGCTTGGACCCGACTGCGTCGGACGCCCGCTGCGACGCAGAGGCGCGACTTGTAATAGGGAGGGCGCTCCGTGGTGTTGGATGCGGTGAGAAACTAGCTGGTAGCTGGAATGAAGCCGTTCGGGAGCTGGGGGTGTCCAAATTCTCTTTTGAACAGGGAGCTAAGGAGCTACCAGGAATTCATGGTAGAAAAGTCCAAGCAGGTTTGGCGTGGTGTTTGGAGGCAAGCTTGGGTGTACCACAAGTCATCCCCGGTATCGCTGGGCGAGAAAGGTGGGCGAGAAAGGTACCTCATTTGGGGTTAGTCAGGGAAGCCAGAGGGACAAACACAATTTTTGGGGTCAAGTGGGCAAAATTTACGAGGAAACCTCTTTTGATCCACACCCAGTCCCCCCCCCAAAAAAAAAGAGTAAGAAAATCTGATCCATATCTACCCCCCCCCCCCCTCTTCCCAAAACAGAAACACATCTGATCCATGCTGTGGATGGACGAAATCCCACACCACCTCAGAGACCCTGGAAGGATGATTCCCTCTAATTACCAACAAAGAATGGTTTCCCACAGTTTCCAAGTGGTGCAGAAATTTGTCCATCCACAGTAGCTCCACCAACAAAATGAGGACACCTCCTTCCATCCCGTCTCTCAAGGCGCGCCGGGAGCGCCTGGCCGAGCTTCCGCGGGCCTTTGGGCACAGTGCCTGGCGCCACCTGCAGCAGCCCCTTGCCGACTCGGCCGACTCGGCCGACTCGGATTTTGCTTCCCTTGATCCGAAAGACCTGGTTGCGCGGAATGCCGGTGCTAGAAGATCAGCCGGGAGAAGGGGGGGAGAGAGTGTGGTAGGGGGGAGGTGAATCGTATTCCAAGCTGTTGGAGAGCTTGGTTCCAAGCTGGTCAGAGATGAAGAGCAAGACTGGAAGGATGTTCCTATGAATTTCAGCCTTGGAAAGGAATCAACGCCCTGTGGCGCGGGTGGGAGAGTTGTATGCCAAGTTTTTGGACAAGTTGCCGTGCTTTGCCTTTGGCCTTTGTCAACCCGCGCTGGGTACCAAATTTGCAAAGCCCTATCCCTGGCGACGCCTCTCAACCTCGAAACCGGAGAGCGGCTCTCGCGGTGAGTCGCGGTGAGTCGCGTGAGGTGCGGCGCTCTGCTCTGCTGCCACGGCTGCACGGGGCACGCGCTCAGTCTGGGCGAGGGCGCCGTGTGCGGGCTGGCTGTGGGCGCGGTGCCGCTGCTACCCGGCGATCTCGATCGCGAGAACATTGGGCAAAGTCGGGCCTTCTGGAAGATCGACCCGACTTCGAATAAGAAAGGTGTTAAAATAGGGATCTGGGGCTTGGCAGGGATGGTCAACCTCTCCAAAGGACGGCCACGTGAGTAGAAATGGTGGTTTTCGAGTCGGTTTTCCTTTTAACACCACACCCATGGTGAAAAAACACAAAACACGGGGGTTCCCTAAGAGGAGATGCTAAGCCGAACATATGGGTAGTTTTTGGGGAGTTTTAGAGGGAAACGACATGAATGTAGGGTCCCGTATTTTGAGACAAACCCAGCTGTAGGCCACGTTTTGCGCCGTGGCGAGGCTGTCTGCGGAGGGCTGCTTCTCCTGCTCTGTGCTGCCGATCGGCGGCGGGGATGGGATTTCGGCCTGCCATGCGACGACGTGCCGGCGGAACTTCAGTGGAGGTGGCGGTGGGGCTGGGGAAGGGTGGGGTGGGGCGGGGGGTGGGGTGGGGTGCCTCTTTACCAAGACATTTGGTTATACATGTTACATAACTTATTGTGGGCTCACCTAAGAGGCACGAGCGATTCCGGGACAGGGGATCCAGCTTTTGCTCAGTTGCCGCACGATGCGGTTCAGAGAGATTCCAGGAAAGCCACTATGTACGGGGTGTACGTATTTGAGGGTACCCCTTGCTGAGGTCGTTTCCATTTATGACGTGCCCCCATTCTTGAGACAAACTCATATGGTTTACCCTCATAGGCAAATTGAGCCCTGTGGTTTGCTTTCCACACGGGCGATCCAGAGCTTCCAGTTGCTGTAGTAGGCATCCGGAAAATCTTTACATGATGGTTTCCCTGCTTACCTACTATGATGACTAGAAGCACCGCAAGTGGCCGCTGTCTCCTCTACATCCCCACGCCATCGCTGCTTGCTCCTTTGCTTTGGGGTGGGGGGTTCCAACGAGTTTGGACGGTGCCACCTTGTGCCGCCGTTTCCCTTAAGGCTCCCCCGGGGAACTCTAAGGAACCCCAAGAAAACCTCGGGCTCTCAACTAGCCGGGGTTGGGGTTTACGCGGGGGTGGGATCCGTAAGGGCGGTAAGCACAAGGGGGCCGCGTATAGTTTTCACAATCCGCCACTTGGCAGGTATGGGTCGGACACACTGTGCCCTGTAAGAGAAGGGGTGCCCTTTGCCACAAGTCCGCGTCAGCAAGAACTGAATCATTGTACAGCGCAACCATACCGAAGGCATCATTTGATATGGGCGTGTCTTTTTGTCAGGATACCATTTGTTGGGATCGTAAAGGGCAACAAAAGGAAACCCACACCCATTTCAAGAGTTCCCTTGACAAATCCGCCTTCTAGGGGATGTCAGTGGTCTGTTCTCGGCTTTGTGTTGTCACGTTGTCAGGCATTCATTGCCTTGAAGGCAGATGTGCCAAGAGGATTTACTCTGCAGTGGTATTGGTGCTGCTGGGGGTAGTGGCACTGGGCACTGGTAGTGGTACTGGCAGTGGTAGTGGTATTGGTAGTGGTAGCAAGAGTAGCAACAGCAGTAGCGCTAGTACTGAGAACCTAGCTTTACAGAGAATATTGAGCCATTCCCAACGCGTGCGCGCACCGGCTCGCGCGCGTGCTGCGAGGCGAGGATGAGCCGCCAGTTCCGCTCTGCTGCTTTTCCCTGGCGAGCGCCGCGAGCGCTGCGCACGCGGCGAACTCGGGCGCTTCGGCGGAGTTCTCTGAGGCGAATGGCGACCCGGGGGGTTTCATGGGATGCTGTGGATGGACGAAATCCATCTCGCACCACGAAATGAAAGCATGGGATACCATTGTTTGTTGGTACTTGCAGGGAATCATTCATCATTCCAGGGTTTCTTAGCTGGTACAGGATGTTGTGCGTCCACAGTATGGGGTTTGTCTCAACGGGATTTGGCGCTTCAAATATGGTTGGTGTCCTTTTGGTTTTGCTGTCGACCACACAGAAAGAGGGTTCCCAACAAAAAGACACACCCGTATTGCGCAACCCTAACATCCAAGCCCTAGTCTTTGAACCCGAATCCTCATACCCTAAACTCTAAAACCGTAGTGCCAATTTCCATTTGCCAGGATTACAAAAACAACTTGTATCCGGATGCACCTTCCCTTTGGGTTTATATTGAAAAACAACTGGTGGTTCCCAGCCGGGTTTTATGGTTTAGTGGTTGGGTTCCCATTTTACTCGCTAAAAGTGGATCACTTTTAGCAGGGGATGGTAAAACAGACAGCCCAGATTGGGTTTTGCTAAAACTCAATTCTTTGAATCAGGTTTCCAGCTCCTCCGTCCCGATCTCCGCAGATCGGGGAGCCGGACGAGGTGAACTTCCGGCGCCGGCCGGGGTTCTCCGCGGTGCTGGGGGAGTTGGAGGACCGGAAGGTTTTTCCAAGGGGAATCACGTCTACTTGTAGGCTGAAGCCTGGAAACCCCAGTCAAGCATGCCTCAAAACGGTTGCTGAAAGACAGTTGAACAGTGTAGCTTGGGCTTGAGCAGGTTGCAGCAATTTGGTTGGGGTTTCGCAAAGGAATCGGTCCATGGCAAGGGTTTGCCCTTTTGGTTTCCATTCCGTGCTTCCATACATATCCTTTTTGGGGCTTGGTTTGAAGGGAAACTTAGGGAAGTGTTGGGGCTTTTGTTCCCACAAAGGGAGGGTGTTTCAAAAATGGGGGGGGGGTCGTCTTTTTGTTTCGGCACCCATTTTGAAGGGAAGCCAAAGGGAAACAATGAGCACATGACACTGTGGATGGCTGCCAGTTGGGATTAGTGGTGTATCCCATTGTCCACAGTATGGTGTATGTGTCTCTTCTCAGGTTGGTCTAGAGGGAAACTAGAAGGACAACCACAGTTTTTCAGTTCCCCATATTTTGACCATACCCAGATGAGCAATCCTAGGGATCAGGGTTCAGTCTCGAGCCCATCATTTGGAAAGTTGGAGCCCCGTAATAGAGCAACTTTTGTTCTCTCACACCAGGGTGATATCCGTTGGCTGAAGTGTCGACTCAACCCAGGCAAGGATGCAACTGTCCTTGCAAGGGACAAGCCTGTGCTTTCATCCGACTTCAGAGCCCACTTCTTCAGGTAACCCCCTTTGGTTTTCCCGACCAAACCGACCGATTCGGCTCCAAACCGTCATTGAACCCACGGGAATGGATGACAGGACCTGAGCGGCTGGCCCTTGAGCCCGAACGAGCGCAGCTGTCAGGACGACTGCTGGGAGAACAGCTTCTGCTGCTCGGCGCTTTTGGGTCGATGTGTCGGAAAGTAACCCCTTTGGTCAGGTTGGCTTAAAGGGAAAGCTGCGGGGAAACACAGGCTTGGTTTGTTGCTAAGTACCCTTTGGTCAGGATGGCGTTAAAAGGGGAAACCACTTGTGAAAACAGGGTCGGTTTGACACAGACCCAAAAGCATGCGAACAGCCGAGCACGGCAAAATTGCTGGCGAGCTTGGGGAGGACGAGGAGAGTGGGCCCAGATTTCCCACCACAAAAGCAGTTGAAGACCACCCAATCTTCCCGTGCATAGAAACAGGAAACATTCGAGAAGGTTGAATTCAAGGCAAACAATGGGAACACACACACACACAATTTCCGGTGTCCCCTTGACGCAATTCCAGGTAGCAGCCCCTCAAAGTGTGGTCTTTTGGCTCAGTGGCTCGGCCTTGTGGAGAACCGGAGCTCCCTGAAGCTGAAGGGGGTTTTTGGCAGACGAATATCTGAAGCTGTATCCATCCTCTTCAACCATCGTTCAACAAAAATAGCAGTCAGCATCCTCTCGGTTTCAGGTTTTCCTTTGGAAGGAAGGGCGCTTCACTGTTGTTGGCATGTTTTTTTTTGGGGGGGTTCATCTTTGCTATTGGGCTGCAAAAACACCTTTTTTAGCTGCATACCAACGGTTGGAAAAGAAAGAACAACTCGTTTGTTCGGGTTTTGTTGTTTTGCTTTGTTCCAAAAGGACCCTCAAGAAATGATCCTCGTTGGAAGTTCTACGCCCGACTTTAAGATCCGCACTCGGGAAGGCCAAGAGACCAACGTATTTGGGTGTTTTTTTCTATAGCCGAGGGTAAGATGAGCGAACACCCATGGTCCTTTTGGGGATTCCTTCGGATTTTGGAATTGTTGCAAAAGAAACATGTCGCAAACTGGATCCTCGGGTTTGAGACAAGTCCGCAGATGGCCCCGGGTTTGAACTTCGAACCCGAGGCTACATCTACGTCTATCTCTCTGAGGACGGTCCGTTTCGTTGACGGGTCGCCGGCGCACGTTTTGGGTAGGTGATGTTCCCCCGGTCCCGTTAAAACACGTTTTAGACAACGGACAAAAACACAGAAACCGCCGTAAAACTGATAATGATAATAATATTAGTAATCATAATAATAATAATAATAATAATAATAATAATAATAATAATAATAATAATAATAATAATAATAATAATAATAATAATAATAATAATAATAATAATAATAATAATAATAATAATAATAATAATAATAATGTGATTCGGGCACGAGCCTGTGCCCAGGCAATGGGTAAGTTGGGGTAAACAAGCCACAAAAGAAAGGTTCCCCAAAAGCAAACCAATCCCCGGTCCCAAAGATCAGGGTTTCCCACACACAAGAGAACAACAACCAAAAGGGAAAAACCTAAACAAGTAAACAAGTACCCGCAACCTTGATCGACGATGAACCGCACGGGCGGACCCCACCAATCTGCCCCGGGCCGATGTCTCTTTCTCCACCGACACGAAGGTGATCGACGCGGGGACCCGGCGACGCTCATCCGAGGCGCGACGGACCCGCAAACTTGAGCCAAAGTGGCACCGGATAGTTGCTATCGCAACATGCCGGTAGTCACCTGAAATGCATGGCTAATCACACCCCCCTCACGAGGAGTCCGTCATATGACGGGCGGAGCGTGCCATTTACTGATAGGATTTAACTGCTCGCATGTGTCCGCAAACAGCTGGACACTACCGCCGTCAGCGGTGGAGCAAACCCACAAAGGCAGTTGCGCGACAACGTATGTCCATAAGTACCCTCGCCTATCGGCGAGAGGTACTCCTGACCATGCGTACCTGAAAAATGCTTGAATTCCGCAAACCCGGGAGTATCCCCCCATTAGTTTGCTTTCCCTCTCACTCACACTACTTCATGATGAACACGACCAGCAGCCGAGCAGCGGTACGGGAGGGACTTGATCTCCGCGCCTCAGCGGTTCGGGAGGAACATCACCACCTCCGCACCGCGCTGACCATTGGAGAATGGACGCAAGCCTATCGGCCGCAATCCTCGTGACTCGGCCTATCGGCTATCGTCACGTCTCCTCCGGTCACGTCCGCCCCACGCACGGTCCCTATCACGATCCCTCTCGGATCTCCTGCGATCATCTCGCCTTCGTTCTCGCTCTCGATCGAGTGAATCATCATCACGACGATCACGGGCATCGTCCCTCCTCCGGTCACGATCATCCTCGCGCCGCGGACGGTATCTGCGTCTTCTCGACTCTCTGGAATCCCTGGTGTCCACAGTCCTAACGGACCTCCGAGACGGAGTGCGGGAGACGTCCGAGTCTCTGCGTCTCCTCCCAGAACGAGAGTTCGTGACGATCTGATTGAGAGCTTCCAGTGCCGAAGCTTCTTCACCATTTCTGATGAAATCCCTGACCTGCTTGTTCAGCACTCTATTGGTGGAAACCGACAGGAGGGCGTCCACCACCGAACTCTCAGGCAGCACCAGGAAGTGACCCTCCACCGGGCTCGCCGCAGCTCGCTCAGCCGGCTGCAACCTGATCTCACCTCCTTCAGGTTTCTTCGCCATTGCCTTGGAGGCCGTCAGAGGCGCTACCGCGTCCTTTGCCGAAGACCTACCAAGCGCAGAGTGGAGATCATCCCCACTAGCCTCTCTCGCTGCTGCACCCGGTCTGCTGTCAACGTCATCAGGCCTGGTCGACGCCTCCCGCTTCGTTGACTCCTTCACGGTCTCATCAGGATCCCAACGGGACTTCCTTTCTCTCTTCTGCCCTTCGGCCGACCCCCGACTACCGCCAGGAGCGCCGTCTCCGCCTACCTTCTCCTTCTTGACCTCAACCTTCGGTTCGGCCTGCTTCGTCTCCTTAGCTTCAGCCTTCGGAGCCGGAGTATTCTTCGCCTCAGATACTGAAGCGGCCTTCCCTTTTGGCTCGGCGTTTGGAACCGGGGTCATTTTAGCCTTTGCACTCGGCCGGGCTCCTTCAGCCGCTATCGCGACCCAAGTCCTCTTTGGTTGAGCCACAGTTGCATCAACCTCCATCGGAGCCGGCCCGGCATCAGCCTTCGCTTTTGCCTGTGAGACAGATGGACTATCGCCCTTACCAGACCCTTTTCCTGGCACTTCACCTGATTTTGGTGGTGGGCCGGAAGGACTACCACCCTTACCGCCCTTTTCCCCCTTCTTCCCTTTTCCTTTTCCGCCCTTGACGATCGGCTCCTGCTTGGGACCAGGACCCTGCGCAGCATGATGCACCGATTGAAGCCCTTCAATGTTCACGTCCAATGGCTCCGGTTGACGACCATCAAGAACCGTCCTCACCCTTTCGTCACTGACGTAGACGAATGGGTCGCGGAAGGGGGCGGGAGGCTCCGACTGCCCGGTACTGATTGCCTTCTGCACCTTGGCTATCGCCTCCTTCAATCTCTTCTTCTCATCGTACCCTGTCTCTGACACCATGTACTTCCTGAGATCCGATATCAACGCATGACTGGCCAGGATGTCCACGTCCTTCCGATGAGTCGGATACAACGGAGTCAGATGCCCCGCCGCGGAGCCAATCACGTACGCCATCGGGATATAGAAGGACAAGTACGTGTCATGGCGAGCAAACTTCCTAACGGAAGTCGTCATACGCCTACCCCACTGAGCAGCATGCACCGGGTTAGCTCGGAAGTACTCAGTGACCGAATCAAATCTATCGACTTGGTTGGTCTTAATCAGGTGCTTCGCCACCCACTTCTCCACGAACGCATCCGAGGCCGAAATCCCCGACACATAGGAGAATTGGAAGAGCACCTTCGCCAGCCATCCCACGCCGTATCGACTCCTCCCTTGTCCTCACCAAGATAAGGGGGCAGTCTGATGCCGCTCTGCACCGTCATCCTCAGGTCAGACGCCATTGAATAGGAAATCAAGTTCCTCTTGATAACTCCGACCACTTCGGATGGGATCCTCTTGGGCTTGAACTGCCTCATGCTCCTCACCCACTCCGGGACGATGTGGCATCTCTCGAAGTCACTTTCGTCCGCGTTGGGGATGAAGTTCGGGTAGAAGACCGGGAGCGCACACCCAGGGCACAAGTGCATCCCATTTGGCGTCATCTCCGCGCACCTCAAACAGAACGTGGTGGTCACATTCAACCTGACCTCTTCACGCGATCGCTTGTGCTCTCCCCTATCGGGGGTAAGGTCACCATAGTCCCATGCCCGATGATACACTATCGTGTAGTCATCGTACATGTATGCCGCCTTCCAAGCGCCCATGTGGATCTCGTTCCGAACGGCAAGGGTCTTTCTCCTCGTCGGAAACACGGGTCCAACCAACGACCAGCGCACCCGAAGGTCCACGATTACCACCACGTACCTTCCCGAGTAGTTCCGCAGCCTGTCCCTGACGTACCATGATGGCGATACCTCGGCGTTCGGCGCCATGGTTTCCACAAGTGGGACCAAGCCCTCATCCTGCCTTCCATCCCCAATGGTATCGTACACATCGGGCCTCGTGATCAATATCTCGATCATGGCCTTTCCGTTTCGCCTCACCTTTTGGAGCTGAACCGCCTTCCTAAAGTCCGAGAACTTCATGACGACGTATCCCACCATAGGGAGTTCATTCCAGTGCATCTCGTACATCAGAGATCCTCCAGGTGCATCTTCTTGGGTGTACCTTTGCCTAACGGCACTGTAACTCATGTCACGTCCGATCCGCGTGTACCTAACGGCCACTAACCTAGTGCTCTCCCTAAGGATGACACCATTCCCATCGTACATGACCATGAGCATTGCCTCAACTTGCCCTATCGGGAAAGCTTTGATCGTCGGAATGAAGAACTTCCACGACATCTCAGCGTTCTCCATGCCCGTGATCTCTCTCAGGAACCAGATGGCCTGGTCACTACTCACCCAGTTTCCAGCCTCACGTCCAGTTTCCCTCAGCACACGTTCCTCGAATAACTCCGAGACTTTCTTCGAATTGATGACCAGACCTTCAAAGTCGCATGAGAGCAGTCTCATCAACTCCTTTGCCGCCTCCCGCCCTGCAACGGTGCCTGCGGTCTCCTCGTAGTTCGGGACGTATTCGCCCAACCTTGTCTTCGAGGGAATCACAATCTGGCATGTGGCGGCCTCATCAGGGATAACCCCAGTATCCCTTAGTTCTGGGTTGATTTCCCGCCTATCGGCAAGATAATCCCTCTTTCCGTCCAGGACCACAAGATTGTAGGTCATCTTGCTTGCCGCCTCACTCGTCGGAACTTTCTGCTTTCATCCACCTGATCAGGAGCAAAGGGTCCACTGGGGGCAGCTGCACTTACCATTGGCGCTCCTCGCCCAGAGCATAGGTGCTTCTTGTGAAAGTTCACCATCTCATTCAGCTGCGACAGGGCATAAGCTCGATCCTCCAATGACGCACTCTTCATCCCAGCCTCAGTCAGAGGAGCCTCAGGCTTGTCATAACTCGCCTTTCCGCCCCATCTCGCCGCGACCAGCTCAGCAGACTTTGCAGGATCAATCAGATTGCCCGACCATTCAGGCATGTCGCTCAACCTCCTAGTCAACGCGTCTATCGACGCAGCCAAGTCTTCATCCGTCACGGTGTGAGGGTCGACCTTCTCCCTGTCTTCCTGACCCACGTCAGGGAGCCTAAAGTCCCCGCGGATGGCCTCCATCGCGGCCTTCTCGGCTTCCTCAGCCTCCTTTTGCGTGGCCACTGCTCTAGGAATCAGGAGCGCTGCCTCAGCTGGCAACGATTTCTCCATGTCAATCGGAGTGTTCTTGGGAAGGATCCTTCGATCATCTCCCTCCCCGCTGTACACATAGTCTGGAGCAGTCTTTCGGTACTCCTCGAAGGTGGCCCCTTTGAAGTTGGTGATCTCGCTCGGGTCTGTCTTCCCAGCCTCAGTATCCCGAGGCGTGGGCTTCTCCGTCCCGGCGGAACCCTTCTTGGAGCCTTCCTGATCCACATCCATGTCGTCTTTCTTCTTCT